TTGTTCAGATTTATTATTAACTCATTTTTTATTTTTTTTTGAGTTTCCTCCCTTTCTATTGCAAAGACCCATATGTTCTTTTTTTCAAATATATATGCAAAAATTAATATGCTTTAGCGTCTTAACAGCTATCACACAAATCTGTCTAGTGATCCACTTATTTTTATCGCATAAGAGTACATGCGTGTGGCCTAGTGAAATTTTTTGAGCTGATGATCGATCATGCAAAACACCTCAGTTACTGCAGAGAAATATAGATGACGTAGTTTTTACGCAACTGCAGTGATTCTTATGAGAAATTATTTTTCCATTTTAAATATATATATTATTATAACTGACAAAAATGACATCTGAAATAAAAGAAAACGAGATTGAATACTAGCAATGAAGAAGTTATACACCTCGAATTTGTAGAAGATAGAGCATCAGATTACAATCACGAACTATCCGTCTCTGGTGAGAATATTACCCTTTTGGAAAATTTTTTAGAGTCAACATGTAATAAACAGAAAACATCTTATACTTTAAGCCTAAGAAGTCTCAAAATTACGTATTATTCTAAACTCTCAGATAATAAAATTCTCTGTGTTCTACGTATATACTCAAATATAACCAGTTTAAATTTTGAACAAAGTGAAAGTTTTACTGATGTATCACTTATAGAAATTGCTTGATCTTATCTCAACTTAGAATCTCTCAATGTCTGTAATAACCAAGATATAACTGGCCACTCCATATATAAAATTGCAAAATCGTACCAAAAAATATGCTACCTTGATATTGGTTTCTGTGAGAATATCATTAATGATTTCGCATATAAAATAGTAGAAGTATGTTCTAAATTAGAACTTTTATGCATTGGTAGATTAAAATAGTGTAAGCCAATTTCTGATCAGACGATAGATGTAATAGCTCACTTATATCCTAATCTTCGCCATCTCTCTTTAAAATGTTATCATAATATTACAGACGTTTTAGTTAATAGATTGTTGCAATATTCATAATTTAGAATACTTTAAACTTGATCAGTGTAGATTTATTACTGATTCATCTATTTATAATATTATTAATTCTTGCCTGAAGCTTAAACATCTTGATATCGGTGCTTCTGATGCTTCTGACACAACTATCTATAATATTGTACGTTTGTATAAAAATTTAAGATATCTTGATATCAGGTGTTGCTGTCTAGTTACTGATATAGTCATTGATAAAATTGCACAATATTGTTCTAGTTTAGAATTTCTTGGTATACAGTCAACAAATGTTAGTAAAGATGCATTGAGCAAACTTAATCCAAAAATTAAGATAAAGTGGGATTCAGTGCTTGACATGGGGCCAGAAAAAGAACTTAATGATCTTTAGGTAATATTAATCAATTTAGTACAGTATTTATGGTTAACTTATGTGAATTTCGAAGATATTATACAATACTGCAAAGATAAGATTAAAGATGAATATTATCAAAAGTTAATTATGGAATTGGAACAGAATATGAGAGGTATGGCTGAAAGATTTGGTTTGATGGTAAGAATGTATGAGCTAAAAGAGAAAATTAATTATCAACTGATAAACCTAGAATTAGATACTAATTATGCCATTACTGAGTTTGTTTCACATGATATAAAATATAGAGGTAAAGAATTATCTTCACACATGAAATTTCAAACCCCTCCAGAGTGAATTTCACTGAAGATTGCATAAAAATGATTTCTTTCCTTAAGACTGACATTTAAGATATAGTCGTAAACTGATCAATAATTTTTTCACCTTTATTAACAATAAGCCTTTTTGCTAATCACCATCTTCTGAGTTGATTACTGATCTAGATTAGTTAGATAGGCAGAGTGGACACCTATTCTAGGGCTAGTATTCTTTCACCAGCTCTATATCACTAGCGTATTCAAGCTAAACTAGCAAGTATAAGATAATTACTAACTATTCCAATGAAATCAGAAGGTGTCACAAAATTCTTAATATGTATATTTCGATTTAGCTGATCTATAGCTTCTTTGCTAATTTTATAACATCCCTTCAGATCAAGATACTTTAAATTAAGACATGAACAAACAATTTCTCTGATAATCATATCAGTAATTTCATAAAAACTAAAGATGAGTTCTTGGAGCCTTAGACAAGAACGAATAATACTAGAAATTAATGTTTTGATAATCTCTATGTAATGAGAAATATTTAGATATTCTAATTTACGGCATGCGTTTGCTAAAGCAAACAGATCTTTATCAGTTATTATTCCAGCATGACTACTTATATACTTATCCTTTTTCAAATTGAATGCTTCAGATTTAAGTATGATTCTGCTATTCGATTTAGCGCTTTATCGCTATATCCTGTACTTTTTCTAAAATCTAAATGAATTATATTTAGAAATAAACGCATAATATTATTGATTTTTTTATCAGAAAGTGGATGGTAGTATGAAATTTCAAGATGAGTTAGATTCAAGCTATAAACTAATGTTTCTTTCCACATACTAATTTTATAAATTATTTTAATTGAGGGGGAATCTTTGCACGATAATAGCCATTTCTCTTTAAGTTGATGCATTTCCATAGAATGGGAACACCGCATTTGTATCACAATCGAGAAACAAATAGAGTGTGATAGAGGGATTTATCTATCGCTAAAAAATGTAAAATATATTCTAATAGTTCTGGTAAATAAAAGATGCTTGATTGCGCCATAAATAGTATATATTATATGCTTCATATTCAAATGAAAAAATTTAGGTTTATTATCATATATGAGTTACCAGAGCTGATCAGGCTCAAAGATGTCAGACTTAATATAATGACTAAGTTTCGGAAATGCATAATAGAAAATTATTGAAGTAAATATACCTTTATAAAAATATAACGCTTGCTCTTCCTGAATTACTAAAGAATATTTTTAATTTCTTAGCTAAAGATAACACATTATATCCAACTTTTTTGGTCTCTAGACTTTGGTCTAGGTATACTGGTCCAATTTTATGAGGTCATATCAAATTAATTGGTGAGAAACAATAGGAAAAGTTTATAAAAATGGTATGTATAAACCCTAGACTAATTTTTAGATATAGTGTGCAGTACTTCATAATTACACATCATTCTTATTTTTCAAATGAGATAATTGAAAAAATCATTGAAGTATTCCCAAATATAATCCATCTAGATTTTGAGCGAAGTGTTAGTTTTGATGATATGGTCTTAATCAAGATTTCTCAAGCATACTCCAATCTTATCCATCTTAACATTTCTAACAATATAAACTTAACCGATCACTCTATTACTGAAATCACAAAGAAATGCAATAAATTGCTCTTTTTAAATATTGGTTATACTGAATATATTACCAGTAAATCATTCTGTGAAATTACACAGTCATGCAATGGGCTGAAACATCTAGAAATTAGTTCGTCTTAGAAATATGTCACTGATAGCATTATATATGAAATCGTACGATCCCTTCCTAATCTTCAATCTCTAGATATCAGTTTTTGTAGTAAACTTATTGATACTACTATTTGCACCCTTACAGATTCATACCCAAATCTGAGAAGTTTTAAACTCAAATACTGTGATAGAATAAGTGATATAACCATCAGAAAAATCGCACAATTCTGTTGTTTGGAACATTTCAATCTCTATAGTATGAGTGTCCTTAGTGATAAATCAATGCGCATTATTGCGAGATCATGCTCAAATATCTAATATCTTAATCTTTAATTTTATAATGTTATAGACAGAGCTGTAGAAGAAATAGCTCTATTGTGCCATAATTTAAAACATCTTGACCTTTACGAAGTTCAACATATTTCTGACTTATCAATTTCTAAAATTACGAAAATGTGCCCTAATATTATATATCTTGATTTTGGATACGCTGACTTTATTTTTGATAGAACCCTTAAAACTATCGCAGAGTATTTACATAGTCTAAAATATCTTGGCCTGAAAGGTTGCTGTAGAATTAGTCAAAAAATAATAGATATGTTATTTTCTGATCTCAAAATAGGCGAGTATTACTCATTACCACTTGGACAATAAGAATGGATAAATTTGGATAAATTTTCTGAGCTGGCAAGGCCCATTTTAAACTACCAACTGTTTAATTTTTTTTGGTCATGCCTTCCTTCGTTGTTTATAAGGGATAGCCTCATTTTCTCTTATCACAATTGTTTTGACTGAATCAGATTTTTCAGAAGACTCAGACAAATAGAAGTGAACCCTTATCTTTTTTACCAATCAGCGAAAAAACTATTTCATGTATTATGTCAATCACAGTTTTCCTATCCACATATTCGTTTAGATCTTCTAATTCAGTCTCTAAGGACTTTACATCTCTCCCTAATCTTTTACCCTCTTTTTTAAAGTATTGTATTGAAAATAATAGTCTTCCAATTGTTTCTTTAATGCCTTATTTTCACTGAAAAGTGCACTATACACCTCTGCATTTTGCTTGTCTAGTTCAAATGCCTGGGCTAATATCTTTGTATATCTAATAACTTCCTACTTGCTGAATACATTAGATGAATACTTTTGATCAGTTATCATTTTCATAATATATTCTATATGCTATATCTTGCTTTAGGCAAAAAAATAAAATTATATATATTGGTGATAGTTTTAGCAAAATTTAGTAGTTATATATATTGATAATATCAGATATTTCATCATTTCTATAGACTCTGATTTCGGATCCGAGTTGTGTTCATCTTCAGGTTTAGAGTCCTCTGATTCTGTATCGCCTATAGCGTAATTATCACCTGCATCAAGACGGTCTGATTCTTACCTTATTGTGATTCTCAAAAGTAATTTAAGATACTGGAGAATTGGATTCTTACCACTATGAATTCTGGAAGCGTGTTTACTTCCATAATCTCTTAATTTTTTAGGTATAGTTCTATAAGGCTCTTGCTTTAAGAATTTGTTAAATGGCCAAGCATTTCATGTTTCACTTTCAGTATAGATAGGATCACGTAACTTTTTAGCCTTAATTGCATCTCGAATCCAGGTGAGTAATTTCCTGGCATGTTCTGGATTCTTCTACATAGAAAGAAAAGGTCAGAGCTCAGGATTCTCCTTCTTTTTTCCTCTATTTTTTAAATAGCCTATGCAGTACCAAGAATAGCCTTCTTTATACTATGCTGAAATGTTCGAAGGATCTAGTTCATAATGATTAATTTGAAGAGATCTTACTTCTCCTAGTCTCATACTCAACATCACTATTACATCCGCAAGATCCTCTTTAGTAGGAATTTTGGAAGCATCAATATTTTGAAGCCTTTTACTTATATTTACTAAGGAGAAATGTATGGAAATTCTGTTTGGATTAGCCATTCATTTCTTAGTTCATTTCTTCTGGATTTTATTAGAATCTTGAATAAGTTTCTTATCTTTGGCAAATTCTTCAATAATTGTAGGATCTACATCACCTTCTGCTAACTTTATATGAAATGTTGACTAACGCGAGATACTGGCAATGATTTCATTTTCATCTTTATTTTTCAGACTCACTGCCTAATGATTGATGATAATGTCTACAAAATCACCAGCCTTAACACAGTATTCTGCCCTTTCCTCTATGGTAAGGTTTTTCTTTCTTTTATCTGATATGAAAGTATCTATCTTCTCTTTACTAAATAAACGTTTATTATTAATACTATTGTCAAGGGCAACTTTAATATACCTGCGGGTTATCTAATCATCAGGAAGCAAAGCATCAAGTTCGAGAGCATGTTTGCTTAATTGTTTTAGGGTAGAGTCAGCTGACAAATTATACTTTTCTAGGAACTGCTCTAAGACTAATATAAAGTTATTAACTTTAGGTTTTTAGGTCTTTGAGGTAGCCGTTTTGATAGTCATGTCAATACTAACTGTTATCTAGTTATATTATGTGAGAAAAAATTCAATTCAAAATAATCTCTCAATCATAGAATTTAAGATACCATATAGCAGAGGGTTGAAGAAAGGAAAAAATAATAATATAACTCACGCAGTCCTAAAGGGACTAGCTTTAGCTAGCATTGAACGTGAAAGATATGCGACATATTTTTGAATATCTATAATAAAAGTGAAAGTGAAGTTTTAAAATTATTAATATCAAAATTATCTCATATGGGTCGTTTTATCTGCTAATATATCAAGAGAGATGGTTCGATTTATGAGAATGAGAGTATGAGTGATTTAGGATGTTTCAGATATTATAATACCCTTCTTAGAATAATATGCCCTATCTGTAAAAAAGGAACCTATTCTGATACTGGAATCTGTAACAATCATAGCGAAATTTATGACCATGCTTGACGTGAAAGTAAAAAAACTAAAACAGAATCAGCGGGATTTACAAAGTAAATACGTCTCTATTTGATATAGTCAAGATACTTATCTGAATAATGAATAATCTGGGCTGAAGTATTATTTTCCTATCCTATAGAATCAAAGAATTTGTGAACATCATTATCTGTTTTCGGTTTATATAGTAGAAGCTCTGATGCATCTTTATTTCCAAAACTAAGTCCATTATATGGTTGCTGATTAATTTGATATGAACGTTCTCAAACCTGTTTTTCTTTAGGCTCTATTTTTTTCCTATTTATCTTTATAGTATAGCCACATCAGTTTTTAGCAATTGCATTAATTGCTCTTATAGCTGAATTAAGATCTGATGTTACCTGAAGA